AAAGTGACAGTGAGGCTGTCGCGTGTTGTATTAATTTCAAACATTTTCGGTTTTGATTAAAAATGAGCCAGCAGACACACAGGAATGACTTCCTTTTAATTCCTACTTCTGTCCTCTTTTGTGTTTGCCTTGGTCTAGATCTGCGAGTCAGAGTGTAATGAGTTGACAATTCTGTCTGATAGCAGACTGATTTTATCTCTGGTTGTGCCTATCTAAGGCATGAATTCATTTTATGATTAATTTAACAACTGCTTGTGTGCTCACATGTGTTCCAGCGAGATTTCTACTCATGTTCTGGGATGATGTTCTTATGTTCATTTTTATGAGGGTGTATGAAAACAAGAGAGACGTTAACTAATTAGACAGCAAACTAACAACACTTCTAAACTTGAATAAGAGTGTCCAACGTGTGTGAAAGAAATGCCTTAATATAAAGCCGCCCCCTCTTTCCCTTTCTGCTTTCTACATTTTTCATGTGTGCACCAGAGGAGAGGCTGCTGAACAAAACCTATGGAATCATGGCACAGATTTGCAGCTGTATCAGTCAAAGAAAGGAAACATTAAAGATTTCTTTCGTGTATCATTTTCTTATTTTTTCAGGTAGTCTTTGTGTATCAAATCAAGCCCCATCCCAGCAGTTCGACTACGGTTGACAGATTTTTGATAATATGGGCAACTGAGACATTGTCAGTGCATTTCCCTTCGCGCCCTATGCTAATTCAGATTCTAATTACCCTATACTTTCTCTCCTTTACCCGCTTGGCTGTTGATTCAAACTAGGATAATCATGTAGCCCGTTGAATGGACAATGAATGAACAAAAATGGATGCATTAGGCCTGAATAAATGAGCTTTTCTGTCATACGTCCTCCCATTAAAAGCTATTTTAACACATTGCTCTTAAATCTCACACTGACAGCAGCACTTTCTCTCGCTTTTTCCAGAATAATTAGGATTTCAGTGATGCATCCAAGTGTGCCTTAGACTTGTGTGTTCCAGCTAAAATTGCATAAAGGTTAGGTCCGTAACAGTGCATCAGTACAGTAAATGTCTTGTTTGTCTGAATTTTTTACTTGAGGTTCTACAGAATTAGGGGGGGAAAGAGGTGGTTATTACTTTTCTGTCCATTTCATCCCCATTTGGAAGAAAAGTGCGCAGAAATAAAAATGTCAGTTGATGAAATCCAATGAAAGACATCTCAGTATAGAGTAATGAGTTCTGCTCCGCCACTGAGAGTATCACCTAGTAGGCACAGGAGCCCTGATGGTAATGGCTTTAAATGTGGACATGAGTAATACTGATGAAATATCAAGGAAAATCACTCTCTGCCTCTCACTGTTTCGTGAATGCCATGTCTCTTTTTTTGTCGCCGTAGGACACCGAGATTATCAACACGGCCATTCTGACCGGACGCACTGTGGCCATTCCTGTCAAAATGGTCTCGATTGAGATGAACGGGGCAGTCACTGACGTCTCGGCTTTCGTGCAGTGCAAGTCCTCGAATGAAGACATTGTTAAGGTAGGCTAAAAGTGATCTCCTCTATCCGAAAGATGCTTCCATGTCACTGCAGTCGCAACATCACGAGGAAGCTTCATTTTCGGCTGCTCAGTATGAAGTATTGATTTGATTCTTCGTTTATTCGTTATGTTCTTTGTATGGTATCGCCACACCTACAGCATGTGTGGGAAACACTTCATTCATTGAGATCGGCTTATCTGATGTGCTGAAGTACAAAGCCCATCATCTCTTCTTGTTCCCTTAAATGTGATGACTAAAGGAAAATAATAAACAACGTCCCGGGATGCAGAACAATCTCACGTGGGAATCCAAGCTGCGAGTGCAATATCAAGTCTCGTTTGTTGATTAAATAAATTAAATTGGGATCACAGCAACTTGCAGAGCACATTAGAGGCTTTGATTACACCGTTGTTATTTTCTCCACTCAGTTACAGTCGTAATAGATTGCTCTATAGGCAGATTGCATAATTGTATAGGCAGAGCAGTGAAGTGTTGCGGTGCCGTCTTGCACCGTTGATCAAAGTGATGGTGCAAGGGGAGACGTGACCTTCGTGGAAGTAGATAATGTGTCTTTTTCCACGCAGATACACAACGGTGCAAACGGTTCAGCTTGGATGTGGTCCCAGTGGCATATGCAACTTTTAATGAAGTTGTACTAATAATTCTGAATGTAGTTTTAATAAATGAAACCAACAAAGAGGTTGTGTGAATTTAGAAGAAAAGGGAAAGAAAGATTAGAGAGGACTGAATGTGCTAACTCAAAAATATCTCAGTACGCAATAAAGCAGTCCCCGAGGGCACAAAAGTCTCATGTTATGAGGGACAAATGAGATGAATCGAATACAATCAACCCCATTCGGAT